GTTGTAACAGATGTAGAAAGCTTACCAGGAAACAGCTCTTAGACCAGTCTGATGACTTCCAGGATATTGGATTGGCTAGCCAGTGGGCATACCTGCTGCAAATTGGTGTCCAATTTATTTTGTGGGCTCCAGAGTAGGGAAAATTATACTATTGCTTTTGGGAATTTTGTTTTGTTTGCTTTGGTGCCAACATCAGTTAATCCATGAGTTAAACATGCTGCATGGTAATGGTAACCTGTCTCTATTTTAGAAGGACCACTTTTGCTTACAATCTTTAGACATATCAGAAGCAGAGGTGGTATTCAGCAGGTTCTGACCAGTTCTGGAGAACTGGCAGCAGAAATTTTGAGTAGTTCGGAGAACCAGCAAATACCACCTCTGAATGGACATTTTACTGTATCCTTTGCCTGCCACGTCCACCAAGCCATGCCCACAGAACCGGTAGTAAGAAAAAAAAGAATCCCACCACTGAGTTAATTGCTTTTAGCTGTAGAGGAATATATTTTGTAAGATGAATGGCTTTTTTTTGTCTTTTAATGACCCTGTAATCCCTTGCATTCAGGTGGAGTCAGGGCAAGTGAATGGAGTTGAGTGTTACTGGCTGGATGCCTTTCCTGTCTCTAATGAAGAGTTCACAGCTGATATTTACTCAATGTGCCCAGAGAGAGAAATACCTGCCACTACCTAGGATCAAACTCATAGCCTCCTGATTGTGAGGTGAGAGCTCTACTTCTAGGCCACTGCCATCACCCATGAGTGGCAATATAAATCATTTTTAAAAATAAATATTCACTATAGAAAATGACAGCAGCCAGGAATTCAAAGAAAGTTAAGGAAGGTCCAATCAGGTTAGTACTCAGATAGAAGAAGACCACCAGAAATCCTACAATTATGCTAAATTGGGAAGTCAGAAAGGCATCCCCAAGGAGGCAGCCATAGCAAAACATTTCCATGCTGTTGCCAAGATAATTTCACAGTACATATACAGGCAATCCTCAACTTATGACCACAAATGAGCCTAAAATTTCTATTGCTAAGTGAAACATTTGTTAAGTGAGTTTTGCCCCATTTTATTACTTTTTCTTGCCACAGTTGTTAAGTGAATCACAGCAGTTGGTAAATTAGTAACATAGTTGTTAAGTGAAACTGGTTTCCCCATTGACTTCGCTTCTCAAACCCCTGGACAGAACTACCTTCATAAATATGAGTCAGTTGCCAAGCATCTGAATTTTGATCATGTGACTATGGGGATGCTGCAATGATTGTTAAGTGTGAAAAATGGTCATAAATCACTTTTTTCATTAAATGAACTGTTGTAAGTTGAGGACTACTTATTGATCCTAGAAGTTTAATCCAGCTTCAAAAAACATCTTTATCATCTATCCAAGAGATTAAAATATCCTCAGTCAGGAGTTGAAGTTTCTAATAGTTAGAATTATGGTTATATTTCAAGGAAGTGCAATTTCTGTGTGTTGTTTTGATAATATTTGTTTGGAAAAGGACCCATTCCTGAATGCTTGCTGCTATAGTATGTGTCTCTAAAAGTTACTATACCCTGCATTATAGAGCATTCAATAGTCATCATAAACCATGTGAGTAGAGAAACTTTGGCAGTCCTTAACCAACCTAGGCTGATGTTGAAAATTTAAACAAATGATAATTTGATTGGGGGATCTGAGTGTGATTGAATGGGAGACCACCAAGATAGCAAAGGATTGTTGGCTAGGCAGGGAAATGTTATATTAAATGTTATAATATGAATGACCAATAGGAGGCACTACACAATCAGTTACAACCCTACTGACTTTTTCTGTAAACTACTGACTACCAGGCCAAGATAACTCTAAAGTTAAATGCACCACATAGCTAAGCTTGTGGATTCAAGGATTAAACACTGGGTTGAATATAGAACATCTAGAACTCAGAATAACTTACGGCAGATAGCATGAACTATATCTATGTCTAAGAGTCACAACATGGATGAAAGTATGTGCATAGTGTCTCCTATGTTCAGTACCTAATATAATATTTAAAGTAAGATAAGGCCCACCCTTAAAGGGAGAAAATTTTGATGCCTCTACATAAGGCTCAAACCAATACAAATCTCAAAATTCCCCAGCAGGAAAGCATGCTTAAAAAAGAGAAAGATGTACTTGCATAGCGTCTTTAAGTCAAGGAAAACAAAACACATCTTAGAAGAAAGGAATGTCAAACATATATTATTACCAAATAAATTAAACTGCCAAGAATCAAGCTTGATCACAGGAGCCTTTTTCTTTTTTTGTAGGGTCTGGGCAAGCACACACATCAAACACAACATGCCAGTAGTAGTTGCACTCATAACTAAAAATAGGTGGGCCCACTCTCTTCAAAGTAAAAGCTATACATTATGACAGATGCAAGATTCCTGGAAAAACAGATACCAAGTTTATAGAGACCAAATTAAGGGTGTTTTTTTTAATGGCTGTGTTTGTAATCACGTCCAATATTTAAACATTCAACAGCTGGTTTATTTTCCATACATGCTTTTATAGAAGTAAAAATTGCAATGCTTCAATTCCCCAGTGAGAGGTGCATGGCAGCCATAATATAAGCTAACAAAGAAGGGTGTTGGATAAGTTCTTCTATCATTCAAAATGCTGACATTACTGATGCCTTAGTATTTTTTAAAGCAATCATTGTATAGTTTTTATTTGTGATTTATAAGCATAATGATTTATCAGTGATATTTCTTCTATGTAATTTTAAGAAGCTTCATAATACTTGTGTCAAAAAAATCAGTACAGTGTTGCAATTTTAGCAAAAATATTTCATTCCCTTAAGCCTGCAGGGGTGTCAAACTGGTGGCCCATGGGCCAGATGCATCACATGCAGGCCACACCCAACTCTGCAAATGGGGGAAAACATCACAAAACGTCACGTGATGGCTACATGACACAGCGAATTGGACACCCATGTCTTAAGGCTTGAAATCCAACCTGCAAAAATTCATACAACCACTGCTTCTAATGGTTTCCTGGATTTTTTTCATCCGAGATCTTCTACAATTATATAACCAGCCTAGTCAACATAATTATCTTGTTTTATAGTGTGGAAATTAATTTAAAAATGTTCATTTGGACAATACATCACGTTTATGAAAAAAAAGGCTAAACATCATCCCTTCCTTGTGACTCACAAACAGAACACAACGATACAATAGACTAATTAATGCATTTTATTCTCAGTCATCACAGTAATGCACCTCAGGTATCTAGAGTTATATCATCTGATGCTTGGGTGGTTATATGTCAATGATTTAGTTTGACCTTTTCCTATTTTCACATCAGTGATGTTGATTTAATATAATTTTTAAAGTAACATGAACCTTTAACAAGAGAGAGTAAGAAAGGCAACCCAGCATTCTATTTGCCACATATGCTCCAGAAACAAATCCTGAATTAAGTTTCGGCAAGGAATAACAAAATTCATCATAGCAAAATTCATGGCTGAACTTCCATATACCCTCAGCAGAATTCCTTAAAGTATATTAAATTTTCCAAAGTATGCATTGATCTTATACTTGCTTAAAGTCCATTTCCTATACACACATATTTAATAATATAATACAGAATCAGGTTTACAGTGTTGATTGGAATCAATGTTCATACATAAACACTTTCACTGAAAGTACACAGATCATCAATCAATAAAAAATGATCAGATTTTAACACCCATTTCTCAAATCCAAGCAACAAATAATTCTCCACAAAAGACTAATGGACATGAGAAGATCAACAATCAAAACTTTTACCATTTTCATGATTTGGATACAGAGAGAGATCTAGATGGTGACTATGACCAGCAATAAAGCATTCTCAAGTATGATGCTGCCAATAACTAATGCCTTCTCCATGTGAGCTTTGTCATTTTACTTTATTCCAGATAAATTTCTCCAATGAGCAATGTAAAAAGAAGCCACACTGGAACCACACATTCCAGTTTTTCCCAACCTAAGTCACTTGAAGATGTATAGATTTCAACTCCCAGACTTCCCTAGCTACCATGGGGAATTGAATTCTGGGAGCTAAAGTCCATCTTTTCAAGTGGCCAAGGTTGAGAAACACTGCTCTATCCTATGCCCAGCACACTATTTTATATGAAGTCAGATCGTGCATTTGGTGGAATCTAACATACTCTAGAGAATAACAATATAAGACAAACCTTAATACCAGTTCAGATCTCCTTCATACATTGCTATGTACTGTAAAAAAAACTAGTATAATGCTAAGGGTAACTGGTCACTTAAGCCTAACGGTATTTTTGAATGAAAACAGACCAGTATTCAATTCATTTTCCGCTTTATTTTGGATTACTTCAAATCCCTGACATTAATGGGATCAAAAATGCACTGAAAGAATCTAGCAAGTCTGCAATAAGACATGGTAGAATCTAGAACTGACTAGGTTCTCATTTCAAAATCTTACTGTTGACAATTTTTCATAGTAATTGCTTTTTGTTAAAGGATCATTTTAATTCAGAAAACCTGCATTCCTCCCTTTTTTCTTCAATAAATTGTTTATCATTTACTGGACTAATAAGCTTATGTATGGCGCTTCTGGGCAGCCAACATTTTATGTGATGCAAACTCATTTGAACTTGAACATTGAGTACCAAAATTCATGGAGATATTCATGGAAAAAGCCATACTGTATATAATTTCATTTTACTCATATTTACATGTGATTAACATTAATCTCATTTATAATTACTACTCTCTAGCCATATATTTAACAATTGTCCCTTTTTTATCACATAAAGTACAATCTGAGAACAACTTTTGGGTATGTGCAAGTGCCATATCCAATTCTTCCATACAGCTTAACTTCAGGTTTTATATCACTAGAGAAATTGTTTAGAGATCACCGTGCACATATATAATTTATCAAGAATATAATTAAAATCCTTAAGTGTGTAATTCTGGTAGGAGAGAGTATACATATTCAAACATTTTTTTAAAAAAATGCACACAATGAGTACTGTTCTTTGGCCTCAAGAAACAGACACAAAAGGCAACATCAAGGGTGTTGATCTACTGACATGCTCTCTAATACATATCAGTGTTTTCAACAATTTTGCAAAATGAAACTCTGGCTTAAGAGGTGATCACAGCATTTAAGTTACTACAGATTCCTATCAATGTTCAACAGAATTGGCTGTCCTGTTATTTGACCTTATTATGGCTATTTTGTTTATAGATGGTAAATAAATATCACACAGAAAATAAGGATGATAAATATTTTTCTTTCTTATTATATGCAGTACTTTCCGACCCATATTTCATATATATGCGAAATCATTCCTTTTCCATTTTATCTCTCCGATCTTTCAGAACAACTCAGATTTATAATTTTGTCAATATTATCTTTTCTCCTGATTTTTCTAAATACCAAGTTGTCACCACCATGATCAAACAAGGTCAGATGGTTTTTAAAAACATTTCTGCTTTGATAACCTGCTATGCCGGTGTCTGGCAGAAAATATATACTGTACTTTGCAATAGGCTTTATGATTCAAGGGGAAATACTTTATTTTAATTGCTCATGTGCTTCTGTATTCAGATGGCAATATGCTCCTACATTAAATACCCAAATACTAAAGCAAAATAATCCCCTTTATTTGAACAAAGAAAGATAGGAAAAGATCTTCCAGGGCTCAAACAGTGAAAAACTAGACTTATCTAAAGCGATTTGGTAATTCTTTGAATGAAAAATGAAAAAGTCTTTTATGTCTTTCAAATAGTCAATGAATATTTACAAAGATTTGTAAAAACAAATGAAAATACTCGATGGTCCTATGGTGGAGGCACATCCACAGTATGTCCTTCCATGTGTACCAGTATTCAATATCAATTTAATTTAGTGCTCAGATTTGAGAACAGACGTTTTCTCACTCAATCTCATCAATAAGGTTGCTTTACTTATAGTTAAGTAATAGTTATATAAGTTTATTTATAGTTAAGTTCAAAGTAATGTTCTGAGCATCTCCCAGTAGGGTGGTTACGTTTTCCATATGAATGTTGGCCCAGGAAGGAAAGCTGCCTAGTTGAAAAATGCTCATAGCCCAAGTATTGATGGCCAAGCTCAGAAGACAGATTCCCATCAAATTCATCAGTAGGCCAGTTCTCGCCTGCAAGGAAAGAAAGCAAAGAGAGTAAATATTTTTTATTTAGAATGCAGGCTGTGGCTCATTACAGCCTTATAAAACTGAAGCAGGCTTTAGAAGTCATCAATTCCAACTCATTGCTCAATTTAAGACATTTAAAGCTCTATGATCTACAGCTGATGGCTGTTCAACCTTGGTCTGGAGAGAGACCCAATGGCATACCAGATATTTCCTTCTTTTGCCATTAGGATGCTTCTTCTAATGTTCAGTTGAAATACATCCTTCTTAATTTAGAACTCTTAGAGCTAATTCAAAATAATCTGTGCTATTTGTTTTCATGAATAATTCCCATATTTCCTACATCTTTTTTTTTATAAATACAGTTTATTCATTTTTACAATTAAAACCAATCACAATACATACACAAATAAGCAAAAGAAAATAAAGAAAGAAGAGAGAAGAGGAAGAGGGGGAAAGAACTTTGGGAAAAGAAAGAAAAAGAAAGGGGGAAGAAAGAAAGAAAGAGGTTAAAAGTAAAAAGTATTCTTATTTTAACAGTTTGCAAAATCTTCTTTCGTTTTCATAACCTTAACTTGTGTCATATAACCACACCTGTTTTTAACTTATATCGCTACCTTGTTATTATAGGTTGATACTTTTCTTTCATGCCTTATGATATATAATTTATCTTTGATCAATCCAATTATACCAACAATTCCAGCTATCGTAGTATAGTGAAGTGTCTTTGTTTTTTAGCACCAAAGTCAATTTATCCATTTCTGCACATTTTGAGATTTTTTCAATAATCATTTCTTCTGATGGAATTTGATGTTGTTTCCACTGTTGAGCGAAGGCTAATCTGGCCGCTGTTAAAATGTGTATTGTTATGTATTTGGCTTTTTTTGAAATTTGCTTATCAAAAATCCCTAGTAGGAAGGACTCTGGTTTGTATTCGATCTGCTCTTTAGTGATTTCTTCCAACCAAGTTTTAATTTTCTTCCAATACTTTTGGGTTTCTGCACAAGACCACCACATATGGAAAAAGGTTCCTTCTTTTTTCCTACATTTCCAGCAATGTGGACTCAAGTTGGGGTGCATCTTCGCTAACCTTGAAGGGGGGAGATGCCATCTATAAAACATTTTATAAAGATTTTCCTTGTATGCTGCCGATTTGGTAATCTTATTGTTTCTACCCCAAACTTTCTCCCATTCCGCTAATGTAATGCTGCGCCCTACGTTCTTACTCCAAGCAATCATATTTCCTTTTGCAATTTCTTCTTCTAGTTCTGTTTCTAATAAGTAGTTATAAAATTTTGTTATGTTTTTTTTTATTGGATCCTAATAAAATTTTATCTAATTGTTGCAGTTTGTTATTAATTCCGAATTCTTTTTTGTCTTGTTTGTATCTGCTTTGAATCTGGAGGTAAACCCATTGATTTCCTACATCTCATCTTCTAGAAAATCATTTGTGCAACAGCCTTAAGCATGGGGTTTCAGACAGGTTCTGGATCAAGAAAGCCAAGAATATTTCAGAGAAGGAACTTCATGGTGAGTTAAGCTCCAGTAATAATACAGAAATGTATCCAATGAGTTAATGTGGAAAATGTGCATTTTAGGCAATGATCGGAGAGAGAAGGTCTCTTTTGCTAAACATTTGATAATGAGCTGATAAAGGATTAAAGTTCAAATAATTGCTATACTCCTATTTTCTATTTCAAAGCAAGACAGTGATAAATTAATATCCTCAGGTCTTGCAAACCTGATCATTAACAAAATGGGGCAATTTTGAGTAAGGAAACTGCAGTTACTTACTCAAAGATCAAACTAGATATTTACCAGTACTAGGAATAACTAGCCCAGGACTACAGGTGAAACTCAAAAAATTAGAATATCATGTAAAAGTTCATTTATTTCAGTAATGCAACTTAAAAGGTGAACCTAATATATGAGATAGACTCATTACATGAAAAGAAAGATTGTTCAAGCCATGATATGTCATAATTATGATAATTATAGCTTACAGCTCATGAAAACCCCAAATCCACAATCTCAGAAAATTAGAATATTACATGCAATCAATAAAACAAGGATTGTACATAGAACAATATTGGACCTCTGAAACGTATAAGGATGCATATGTACTCAATACTTGGTTTGGGCCCTTTTTGCAGCAATTACTGCCTCAGTGTGGTGTGCCATGGAAGTTATCAGCCTGTGGCACTGCTGAGGTGTTATGCAAGACCAGGATGCTTCAATAGCGGCCTTCAGCTCTTCTGCATTGTTTGGTCTCTTTCATCTTTCTCTTGGCAATGCCCCATAGATTCTCTATGGGGTTCAGGTCAGGCGAGTTTGCTGGGCAATCAAGCACAGTAATCCCACGGTCATTGAACCAGGTTTTGGTACTTTTGGCAGTGTGGGCAGGTGCCAAGTCCTGCTGGAGAATGAAGTCAGCATCCCCATAAAGCTCATCTGTGGAAGGAAGCATGAAGTGCTCCAAAATCTCCTGGTAGATGGCTGCGTTGACCCTGGACTTAATGAAGCACAATGGACTAACACTACCATATGACATGGCTCCCCAAATCAACACAGACTGTGGAAAACTTCACACAGGACTTCAAGCATCTTGCAGTGTATGCCTCTCCATTCTTCCTCCAGATTCTGCGTCCTTGGTTTCCAAATGAGATGCAAAAGTTGCTCTCATCAGAAAAGAGGACTTTGGACCATTGAACAACAGACCACTTCTGTTTTTCTTTAGCCCAGGTAAGATGCTTCTGATGTTGTTTGTTGTTCAGGACTGGCTTGACAAGAGGAATACAACATTTGAAGCCCATGTCCAGGATCCGTCTGTGTGGTGGCTCTTGATGCACTGACTCCAGCCTCAGTCCACTCCTTGTGAAAGTCCCCAACACTTTTGAATGGCCTTTTGCTGACAATCCTCTCCAAGCTGTGGTCATCCCTGCTGCTTGTGCACCTTTTTCTTTCACGCTTTTCCCTTCCACATAACTTTCTATTAATGTGCTTTGATACAGCACTTCGGGGAACATCCAACTTCTTTTGCAATTACTTTTTGAGGCTTTCCCTCCTTATGGAGGGTGTCAATGATGGTTTTCTGCACAACTGTCAGGTCAGCAGTCTTTCCCATGATTATGCTTCCTACTGAACCAGACTGAGAGACCATTTAAAGGCTCAGGAACCCTTTGCAGGCGTTATGGCTTAATTAGCTGATTAGAGTGGGACACTTTGAGCCTAGAATATTGAACCTTTTCACAATATTCTAATTTTCTGAGATTGTGGATTTGGGGTTTTCATGAGCTGTAAGCCATAATCATCTCAATTATGACACATCTTGGCTTGAACTATCTTGCTTTGCATGTAATGAGTCTATCTCATATATTAATTTCACCTTTTAAGTTGCATTACTGAAACAAATGAATTTTTGCACGATATTCTAATTTTTCAAGTTTCACCTGTAGCTGTTTAGACCTCACTTGCTAATATCTCACTTGGTCTGGCTGGGATACAGCCATGCTATATTACTAGATAAGTTCCTAATGCTGAACATATAAAGCAAGGTTTTTATTATTATTTATTAGTCACACAGTGAACCAGTTGTCCAAAGTAGATTTGGCATTTTTGTCTACCTATTGGTCCTTTCCAAGGACCTGGGATAGGCAGATCTGGATGCTTGATAGTGTTACAGATTTTGTCACAGGATGGAAGCTGTTCCGAGTACAGCTGCCTTTTGCAATTGACTGATGGTGAATTTGTATTATTATTACTATTAGTGTACGGTGTTGTTACTTTAGCCAGGAAATCATATTGCTATTGCAGAATAATACTTTGCATTTTACCAGCCAATTTACCAGCTCTGTTATAGGACACACTCACGTGCTTCCCAAGGTGTGGCATAGGAGGGTGAGCTGGCTTTGCAGCAGAATGAAAGATAAGTGGTTCTTCCTTGCAGCAGCATACCCCCACCCCTTCCCTGGAGCCACATAATAAATGGGCACCCAACCAGGAAGATTCAGAGCCAGTACAAATCTGAGTGCTTTCACATAGCACCAGCTCATCTTCCCACCAAAGTGGTACCTACCTATTTATCTACTTTCATAGAACATGTTTTCAAACAGTTAAGTAGACATAAATTGAGACAAGTGAGGGGAGTTCACCCCGTCACACAGTGCTAGGATTTGAAACATTAGAGCAGATATCATCTCCAGCATCATTAAGCCACTGAATCCCTATGCCTCTATAAAGCAAGATGTATAGTAGCTACAAAAGGTATGGAGATGTCCCATATTCTTCACCAAGAATTCCAGCTGGTGCCCACTTACAGCTGGTAATATACTTATAACATTTTGATGAATATGAATATAGCAATGAACAAAAAGGAAATCTCTGCATAGTCATAGAACACAGGAACCATCTTGCAATTTGGGCAGAAGTAAGCAATAGGTTTTGGCCATCGTTTTTTTTTTCTTACTATTTATGGCATCCAATGGTCATAGAAATAATAATAACAGGATGTACTCCCTAAATTGTGAGCTGCTTCAAAGGTCATCAGTTGGTTTTTGATTGCTTTGGAATACCATTTTTTTTCATTTTCTTCCCAAAATTGTTGCCTCATCTGCAATTGTGCCAATGAATTACTCCACCCTAACCTCAGATCCACTAAGAGGAAATTCATAAGAATCGTTTCATAAGAATTTGTGTAAGAATATTCATTCCTTTATATTCTTTAACCAGTCCAAAAGAGAAGTAATACTTTTATCCAAATGTGCATATTTATTCAGAATCCTTTGATGAACACATGGTCTTTGACAGTCCAAAGACTCCATGTCAATAGTTATGACAGGCTGATAGCTAAACTGGGAAGCTGGCAATGAGGGAAAGAGATTTGTTTAATTATTTTTCCCTGTGCTCTTTTCCCTATCTATATTCCACTGCTATGAAGTTATGATGTCTCCCATTAGCTAAAATATTCAGTTACCAGGCAGAATTACATGTCATGTCATATCATATCATACTGTATGAGTTTCCTTTGTGGTGTAAATCAAAGCTATGCATGTACAGGACAGATTGGGGAAATGGCAGTAAAGTACATCATTGCTTAATCATTGCTAATTCACTTTTTCCTTAAATGTGTATTATAATGCAAACAAAAGAAAACAAATGAATTCTAGTGCCAGGTAAGTAGACTTATCAATTTGATGGGGAAATTGCTTTAGAATTTTTTGTTTTTTAGCAGATGAGAGAACAATACATTGAAATTCTCATGGAAGAAGTGTGGCAATTGGTTTGAATACAAAACATCTGTTTTACAAAACGAGCTTTCCCAGTCATTATGGAAGTATTAAAACTCAGAGAACAGTATTTCAAAATGCAGAATACTTAGAATTCAAAATAATTAGAATTGGAAATGTTTCCAACACCCTTATAGAGTATGATAAATGTCTTGTCTTTCACTCGAAAATCATTTCTCCAGCTGTCTGTAGCCTCCCTAGCTTCCCATGTTTCAGACAAATTTTAAATGAAAAGTCTGGAAAGGAACTTTTCATTGTTTTTTTTCCCCCTCCGTTGTGGTATTATCTACCCTGAGAAAGTGGGGTGGGTTTTTTTTCTTTTCAAGAACAACAAAACCATCCACCCAATTTTTCTGCCCACAAATTTGGTAGAAAATTCAAAACACTAACTCTATGCAGGTCTAATTTAAACATATCCCCCTTCAGACTAGCTTTACATCTCAATTTGGCACACCTACCTGTATCCATTTTCCACAGGTTTTTTTAATTTCTCACTGTAAACTAATTTTGAGCTTCATATGATAAACGATCTATAAGTGAAATGGTAACTATGGTGACATGTGGTTCTGCAAATTAACTGAGCCTATGGGGCCAAAATAGCCACCTTTCCCTGTTGTTGGTAATTTTGCTATAGTAATAATTACCTTATAAAGCAACTTACCATATCTTTGACCATCAAATGCCCAGAAGCAAAAGCAATGGAATTTGGGGGTGTAGAGACTGGAAGCATGAAGGCAAAAGAGCATCCTACAGTTCCTGGTATCATTAAGTAGAGTGGATTCACCTTCAAACGAATGGCCTTTGAAAAGCAGAAGTTTTTTAAAAAATGAGACTTTAAATGATCATTTATTAGTAAATTACACATCTCTGAGGACAGTCTGAAGATACATCTCTCCACCTCTGTTATGTGAGCTGCACTGGTTGCCAGTTTACTTCCAGGTCCAATTCAAGATATTATTATCTATAATGCCCTTTGTGGCATGGGTCCAGATAACCTGAGGAACCATCTCACCCCAATGGAATTAGCTCACCTCACTTGCACCAGTAATAAGGGCATGCTGTAGATCCCATTGGCCAAGGAATTTTGGTGTGTGTGTGTGTGTGTGTGTGTGTGTCCAAGAGAAGATCCTCCTCTGCCACATCAATAACCCTGTAGAATATCATATTTCTCTGCTATGAGATCTGCTCCTTTTGATCTTCCATAAAGGCCTGAAAATCTGGCTAAGTCAACTGGCCTGAGGCTTGGATGGGAACATGTGTAGATGGTTTCTGGATTAGAAGATCCTATTTTCATTCTGTAGTATATCCCCTACCACCTTGGTTATTTCTTTGCTAATTTTAACATATTTATTATCTTATTGTCTTAATCATTTATAATATTGTTTTACTGTAAGCCACCTAGATTTGCAGGAGCAAGATAAGCAGCAAATAAACTTAATAAATAAATAATATCTAGTCTTTTGTAAATGCTTTCACTAGATGATCCCATAGAAACCTAGTTGACAGAATGATTTAAGGAAAGCATCATGTTCACGGGATCACTAAATAAGATCCTGTTATTGACATTGCATCAAGTAAAGGAATTCCCTTCCTTGAAGTCTCTTCAAATTCAATCCCAGTGTGAGATCTACACAAATTCAAAGATTTGTTCCAAGTCCTATGAAAAGGCTCCTACAGATGTGCTTATCAGAAAAGGGCTGCCATATGAAAGGATATAACACAACCTGGAAGAGAAAATGAAAGTAAGCGCAGCCGTGGTGGTGCAGTGGTTAAAATGCAGTACTGCAGGCTACTTCTGCTGACTGCTGGCTGCCTGCAATTTGGCAGATCAAATTCCAGCAAGCTCAAGGTTGACTCAGCCTTCCATCCTTCTTAGGTGGGTAAAATGAGGACCCAGATTGTTGGGGGCAATATTCTGACTCTGTAAACCACTTAGAGAGAGCTATAAAGCACTGTAAAGTGATATATAAGTCTTATTGCTATTGCTAGCTATTGCCTGTGCCAAGGTCTCCTCATTGATAAGAGAAAAGAGAGCTTATGCTGCAAGCTATTCAAAATATATATATGAGTCTTTTACCAGCTCTGCCAAGACAGGCAAGAAGATGATGATTGTAGCTGTGTTGCTGGCAAATTCTGTGAACATTGCTATAACTGCTGTGATGAGAATTACAGCCACAGGGGGAGGTAAATTCTCTAGAGGGTCAAGACGACCGCCAATCCAGACAGACAAACCTGATTCCTGTAGCAAGAAACGAAATTTTCCAAAGTTATGTAAGAGAAAAATATTTAAACCCCTAAAAATCTCTTTCAATTCTTATCATGCAATGACAGTATTTGGAGAAGATCATTTAACTGACAGTAGACTTGCATCTCTGGAGGACTCCAACCAGGGAGGACCAGGGAGATGAATGAAGGTGGCCACTTTACCTGTCATTTACTGTCTCGCATGTTGCTGGTATGGCAAAATATCTCTTTATACTATTAGAATAATAAAGACATCCAAGCTTGCTTGGGATCAGATAATTAATTGTAAAAGATGTAGCACATTTGTGATTTTAAACAATAAACCTGTTTTGAATTATTACCAATGTCTGTGATTATTTTCAATTGAGCAGTCCCTATGGTACTTTTTCCCCTTCAGAAAAATTCACATGATGATATTTTTCTATCATCTATTTATTTTACATTTCAACCAAATGTGACTCTTAGTAATTATAAGAGTAAGTCCCTGTCTAGTTGTTTGCTACTGATTTCTTCATAGGGCTAACAAAACATGAGTGGCTCAACTGGTTTCTGGATCTAAGGAAGGACTAGAACTCAAATTTCTCCAGTTCTAGTCAAGTATCTTAACCACTGGAGCAAATTGGTTTTTAGTTCAATTATACCACATATATCAGGACTTTTTGAATTATAGGTAGTTAAACAAATTATATTAAGCTTCCCAGATGACTTTTGAGTTAACGGTTGGGATGAACAGATCACACTAAGCCAACATTGACCAAATTGAATTGAATTTAGTGTGTGCTACATGCCACTGTACATGCATGTAGCATAATATAATATATTATGACAACAATGCCTATAGAAAATCAGACTCACAGACAAAAATGTTTCACAGGCTGCACTTTAACAGACATACCTCACATCCTTTTGCCATTGCAAACCCTCCTCCAAGCAACAGGATTATATTCCAAGGCACACTTTCTTGGGCTTTGCTCCAAGTTAGCAAAGGTTCATTCTCAACATTTGATGCTAGATGAAAAGGTTTGTAACAAAGAAAGACAGAAATTAGTAATACAGTCTAGAGTAGCCTTCCCAACCTAGAACCTCCAGATATGTTGGGATTATCCAGATGTGTTGGGAGTACAAATCCCAGCATTCTTAACCAGTCAGCCTACGGATAATGGTGGGCACCAGGGACCGGTTCTGTGGAGAGAGGTTTTTCTGTGGGGCGTGGTTTTGCATGCTGCTTGCATCCTGTGGATGGAGCTTTGCTTGTTTGTGCAGCCTAGTCTCTGGCATGCTGTGGCCCAGTACTGGGCCACAGACCCAGGATTGGGACCCCTGCTCTAAATAATAGCTTAGCATGATGTGAATGAGCCTAGATAAAACTGAGCTGACAGTCTTTTGCCCTTCTCCAAATCCATAATACATGCAGATGTTTTTGTGTCTTTTGCTAAGCCTCAAGCTGGCTACTTTCAAATAAACTAGTTAATATTAACTATGATTTTCTAGTTTAGGCAACATGATAAACAGTATCTAAGCAAAAATAAGAGCAAATCCTCTGGAATTCTCATGGCTATGCCAGGGGAGGAGGGGAAGGGTCATAGGAGCTGAGTTCATGATGCTAAACTATGAATTACTATCCTATTATAATGGGCGTCTCTTGTGTCCTGAACCATCTTCCATTAAAGAAATCCATTTATGATATTCTATGTATAAGATATAGGCACGTAAATCAAAATTTCACAGACTGATGAACCAGGAATTGATTTGATACAAATGCTTGGGAGGACAGGGCTTTTCAGCATAATATAAATGGTAATGTTAACACCAGCATTTCTGATTTACAAAAACACTGAAAAGAAGTACATGGATTAGGCCTAAAAAGCCCCAGATGTGAAAGAAAATAGAAATATATCATTTAATTCATTTCTTAAACCACCATACTGTTGCATTCCAAATATGATGGGCAATGATTTCCAAAATCAACACCATTCAATCAGCTTAGTCAATCATTGGCTATTTTGACTAGAAACTGTGAGCAATAATGCAAGGAGGATGCCAGGTAGATAAACCTGTCTTATATCACTATGATATCTAAGAGCATATTTTACTGAAACAACTTCAACTTATGCAAAACATGGATCAGAAAATCTACCATAATTGCAATTTCTGGTCAAACAAAGCATGAATAATACATAAATAAATACACTTCTTCCAGTAAATGTGATTCATCACTTGTTGCAAAAAATATATATGGAGAAATCAAAATAATTCAATCTGTAATCTTATCCTTTTAGTCAAGTACTGTATATTTTAGGGTGTAGTGTGCAGATATACTGTATTTATCTGGTGACCTTTGTCTATACAAATATCAGAGTAGAAATATTGAATATATATGAGCAACATTTTTACATTTGAGTTTGAAATCACGTTTTTTGGCTTTTGCTTTTATCATTTGCTTTCTACTTATTTGCTATTTGAGGTTTTGAACTTGATGCTTCAAATAAAAAAGTATTTTAAAAAATCTAATGCACACTCAGTGGGCATTTTAAAAAATAATTCGCACTTTGGAACAAGAGGGTTAATTTTCTACTCACAGTTCAAACATTACACTTATGGCAACAAATAATCCAAACCTTATCAGTAAAGGTTTATAAATGGATTTTTGCCTGGGAAGGCATCCTGTTACCTAAGTCAATTCTTATTACTAAAGTAAGCACGTTTATGTATTTGTGTATTTATCTGTTCAATTTATATCCATCTCATAAAACAACTGAAATGGCTGTTTTTTTGTCATTAATACTGTTGGGAGAAATATCCATCTGATTCAGTTCCAGGCTGGGAGAGACACTGGAAATATGGAGGCAGATTGGAAAGATGGTTTAATGATGAAGCAGAACCACCAAGTCCATAGCACTGGTGCAGCTGACCACATGGAGTTGAGAGTGAGGGGTTTTTATACCTTCTCTTGGGCTTTTTCTCTTGAACTTCCTGTGCAAGAATATGTATTCTATTGGCTGTTGTAGGTGTCATAGCTGGCTCTGTAAGTTGTCTGAACTCCCAGGTTGGTTGAAGTTTGCTGCTGAGATGATTCAATGAAGAAACTTGTGTTCTGAAAGGGTGTTGAGCAATTCCTATTATGGCTTAATGGCTTTGTCCTGATTTGGATCTTGAGTGTGGGCTATTTGCTTATGAATAGAGCTATCTAGCTATTTATCTTTTAAGTGCTGACATCTGCTGGGGGCTATTATGGAAGGTGGGAGCTGCTTTCCAAGAGCATGTTTTTCCATTTCGTATCCAGTGAAATATAATATTTTGCCTTTTTTAATATTTCTCAAAATATTTCACTCTTCTAGGAGAGGGGTGGGTGCTAACTTTCCACACTACAATTCTCCCTTATACTGAGGACAAAGTTAGCCAAGTCACATAATTTTCTGCAACACTGTCTCTATATTAATTATCCAAATGTCTGTAAATTAATCAGTCTACATACTTCATTAGAACAGGTACTATTGGAAAGAAAAGCATAGGAAAGCAAACAATTATATTTGGGGAATTAAAGCGAGGATCTTCAAAAGCCGTTGCTTCTATTGTTTTCCACAGTCAGTGCTGAAGAGAGCAGAGAACTTGGTGCTTTATGGTGTACAGGGATGTTGGCACCTGACAGAACACATTATTAATGAGCCCACTGACAATTGATAGTCACCCCTTCTGGATCTTCATTGTTTTTCCTTCGTTAAGATTCTTTAGAGCAAGCAAGCTTAGGTATGCCTAACATCTGCCTGTATCTCTAAGCCAAATGAGGGTTTTTTCCTGGGATCACATTATAAAGGCAACCATGTGGTCCTGGGGAAAGATAGTTGTTTGCTGAAAGGTACTACATGAAAGCCTCTGTGCACTCCAAGGCACCCTTTTCCTTTCCAATCCAAAGTGAAGCACAGTCCTAATATCAATAACTGTTTTCCCTTGTCCCTCTTTGCCTAATCCTACATAGGATAAATGAGTTAAAAGGGAGAAACCTATTGATCAACTTTTTCTATAGGGCTGTGGAAACCAGTGTTACAATACACGCTAGGGAGAATTCAAAAATATAAGACCCGAGAACAAACTTCGATAAACCAGCAATTTACCTTTTAGATCAAACCACCATTTAAGAGATGGCTTTTTCGCTGGGAAGAAGAACAGTATTGTCACTATTGTGATTCCAGTAACTGCATCTGAGACAAACCTAATAGAAATGGAAAGAGGATTCTACATAAGGTTTTTATCAAAGAATAAGTTTTTATATCAGGTTTCATGAATATTTACAGTTTATAATTATTTTTTAAAAACCATGGAAATTACTGCCCTCAGTTAGAAAATTAACTGTAACTTAAAATTACAAATTGGAGAAAGCACGAGAAGTAGCCTTTATTTTTTTAAATCAAGACTTGTGTTTAATCATTGACTGATTATTGATAACTGACAAATTATAGGGTACAATAACTGAAATAATTATATTCTAAAATTAAGAGACTTTCACCAGCTACAGGCCAAAGAATTTCAGAGTCAGATATTGTATATCCAGGAGGGGACCTGATGAAGATAACTTGTTGAAGACCTGGAAGAGTAGGATGGACTGTAGTGAAAGGTGATCCTGAAAGTAATGTGGATGTAGGACATTTAAACTCCCCACTGGATTTTGATCTGGATTTAAAAAGTGACTGCAACAATGCAGCTGTTTCAACACAGGGGTGAAGTGGGACCTCTGACTTAGGCTTAGCACATCTTTTAAAAGAGCAAGATTAAAAAATAATTAACAGCTTCTGCAAAAGTGAACATCCAAATCTTGGCCCTGTCCAAGTGCATGATGAAAATTCAAACATCCTCCCTACAAATATAACTGGTGCTTAGAAGTTTGTCAGTGTTTGCTCTGAGACATTAAGTAAAAGTTCTTCAAACTTCTAGACAATTAAATACTCTAGATATTTAATTGGATATATTAGATATTTAATTTCCATGTAAAGTATGTGTCCTGCAATAGAACTATTATCTAAGAGGAAATAAAAAAGAAAAACTTATGATCTTTTCTTCTGATACATGAAATATGAGTTTTCATTAACATGATGCCCTATGAGATACAATTTCCATCTTTCTGCAACAGACACAGCTAAGAAGGCAGATCTGGGAATTTCAACTAAAACATTATCAAAATTTGGCATCACATAATCTCTTAAATATAGGAAAAAAAGATTTAAAATGCAATACATGCTGACTTTGAAGCAAATTGAGAAATCAGTGGATTATACAATATAGCCCCAATAAAGTTTATAAACAGTGTTATCAGAAGAAAAGGGCATGAGTTTTCTATGTATTCTTGAAAATTGGAAGCATGTTCTCACTTTTTAAACACAGCTACATTAATCTGATAGATATTTTACAACAAAATTGTTGTTATTGTTGTTGTTTTTAAAGACAAGTTAGGGTGACTTTTTCAAAAAATATATGAACATTGGATTAAATTTTCCATTCAATATTGGATAGAATTCCTAAATCTCCTATTTGCCTGAATGAGTTTTAATAAACTAAAAGCAAAAACTTACCCTGGTTTGAATAAGCTTGCCCAACCTGTGATGAATTTTGGATCTCTGGAGAATAGCAAGATGGCAAATAAACAGAAGAGAACAAATACTGCCTGCTCTGCAAACCTGTATTGGAATAAAATTAAGTTAAGCACTTAACTTAAATATTTGCCTGAAGTTTAAGTTCAGTTAGAAATAGCAGATGGTAGGAAATAGAAGAAGAAGAACAGATTATTTAAGGTGTTTTTTAATGTGAAAGGCAACAAAATGCAGGAGAAACCTATAAAAAGAACATAACTCCGAAAGTTATTCATATGTTATGTAGCACATGTCATATAACAAGAGTCAGTTTTGTTTATTGAACTAGGCATGGATCTATCTGAGTTCTTATCTTGCTTAAAGCATGAAGCCAACTGTGTGATTTGGCCAGTCACTTTCTCCTAGTTATAATGAGAAGGCAGTGGAAAAATCACTTCCGCAAATGCTGCCAAGAAACCTGCAGCAATTTCTCTATTTAATTGCCAAGAGCCACTACACCTTCTTATTTGAATCTTGATTGTACATAAGCATGGATATAAGCTATATCCATACATTCAAATAAATGAATATTGATACAAATGAACATGAATTTTCCTCTTACATACTTTCATTCTATTTGAGGAACTAATGTCTGAAATGGCTAATGTATATCTGGAAGGTGTTGAGTAGACAGCAGCAGCAGCTGGTCAGGACTGATTGTGAAAACATCAGCAGAGCCAGGCTTGGGTAGCATTTAAATGAGCGATCTCTGAGAAATACTGTATATGACTGTCTAGACAAGATTAGGAAGTCAAAAACATTCCAGAAGAAGGCATCACCAATCTACATCCATACTATTGGCAAGACACATTAATGGATATGTCTAGGAAGCTTAACTGAGTCTTGCCTATATTTATATCTGAAATATGTTTGTCATGATGTCCCATACCTTGGTTATATTCACATTAAATGATAGTCATGTGTTATGCATGAGACTGCCCCTGAAGATAGTTTAAAGATTACAGTAGATATGGAATACAGTACAAATATGGTTGTGGTGACAAAGATAATCTTGTATTGATTACATTGGTTGCCTATTGCTTCCATTCACAATTCAAAGTGATGTTTTTGAGCTTTAAAAATGTCAGTCAGTCTGCCCATATTTTAAGAATGGGTCGGAAGACTTATTCTCTGGCTAGACAGTGAGAACTGATAAATTGGCAGGTAGAGGTAAGTTAGGTGCATTAAATCATCAGTGCATTTTTGTGTGTACATTTTTGACCTATATTTTCAAATGCTTTGTGATTTATACATCAATGGCTGATGATAGTACTCCAAAAGGTGAACTTTGTTTTTCAATAAATAGATTTTATATGTGGAGATTATGTTTCACAACTCACATAAGAGTATAGCATTTAATAGTCAGAATCAGAAGTAGGCATTGTTTGTTCCATATGTGCATTGTTTTCCAGGAATGTGAAAACAATTCATATTTAATTTGGTTACATTAGATACAATACTATGTACTAAAAGTCTAATTTAATAATTTAATCAGTTAAAATCTCAGCCTTTGGATGTTGAGAAGGGGACAGAATGGAAAGCTATTTCATAACAAGTATTTAAAAGGAGATTCATTACTAAACAACCATAGCATCAAAAAGCACTTTAAAGGCAACCAAAGCATCAAAAGCAAATAAATAAATAAAAGCAGAAAACCATCAATAGATTTAAGGAAAGAACAAGAAACAGAAGCCATTTCAAAGAAATCTGGAATTGCTAATCAAATTGGCAGGGGCTGGTTTAATGGAGTTTTTATATTCTTAAACAGTAAAAAGCCTTTGATTTTTACAGTGACACTTTGCAGGTTCCTGATGTATAATCACTTGAATGGTGGAGTGGGAGACTAATTTCTTGCATAACCATCCCTTAATGATGAAATCTTATAAGCATCTTTTCAGGCAATCTGTCCTACCTTATCTATGCAATGTCTATACGTAGATTTTTAAAAGTCAGGTTTAAAAAGGTAAAAGTATAACACAAAAATAACCAAAATCTGAGGAAAGTGAACAAATTAAAAATGTTGTCTAGCTTTTTCTGAAAATGTCCCTTTTATTGTTCTATTTGAGAATATAAAAATATAGGTACAATATACAACAACTGAAACTGAGCTAACTACCTTATTAAGAAGAAAAGTGAAAGCCATGGTCTCCATAAATAATTTATAGAACAGCCCTCTAATTATGTGGGCTGAAATTTTCTAGCTTTTGTGATAATTCATGAAGGACATCATTTATTGCTCTGTAGGATCATTCTTGAGTGCCTGAACTACAAATTTTCAAAACTCAGAAGAGTAGCTAATTAAAGAATTAGCTCACTCCTTATCTAAATAATTTAGCAGAGATAATTAAACACAACAACAGCAACAATATTTCAAACTTATTCTGTCATTTGAAATCTGCTCTTGAAGCATGGCTCCAACTAAGCATTTTTGATCAATGAAAAGAAGACATTAAAATAGAAACAAAAAAAGCCATAGGAGAATGTGTATTTTATGAACATTCTTATTGCTACAGTGATTTTTCTTAAGCTGTTGACATACATTGAAATCTGAAATTTATGAAAAATCCCCATTATTAGATGACAGTACTGACATTAGAATTAAATTAATTCTAGAGTCCTTAGTTCTGACCTAGATGTACAATCGTAAACAAAGACCTTAAACACACATTGCACATAAAAAATAGACAGGCTTCCACTGCATCATCTCAACCACTACCATAATTTTTTGACTAAAATCTGCAGATACCACAGATGTTAAATGTGACTGAATAGAAATGTTACCATTATAATGCATATATTTGATATCTCGTGTCCTTTCTTAATAATTTCATCTTCTTCTTTGTGATGTTTGTTATTCTCATTGTGACTTACTTTATTGGTCCCAGTTTCTCATAGTCTTCCATTATAACTGCCCGAGCTCTGCCTTCTGCTTCAGCTCTTAGCTTTGATTTCTTCTTTTTGCAATTTCTGATAATTGGAAAAGGGGAAAACGTTGTTCAGTTTAAGTTGGTAGCCAATATTTCTCCCAGATCTTCCACAATATTTATTGTAAGATCCTGGCTTTCAGAAAAGAATTCACACTGCTCTTGATTAATATGATTCTATTTTGGGATTTTGGGGATTTTAAAGTTTTGGTTGATTATTTGTTAACATTTTTAAAATTGTTTTAACTTTAGAGAAAATAGGTTATATGTCTAAGAGATACTTTTGAATGAATTTTGAATTTTGTCATGCCATGAAAATAAACTATTTACATATAATGTACTGGCTATATTCAGCATAGTGAATATATATATATTCACTATTTTAGCAGCCAAATGACTCTTTAAAAGGTTCAGTTTAATACTTATGAAGTCCTGTTTCTGAGAAAGAATTATAAAGAAAGTGCCACTATAAAGAAGATGCAACATCTAGATTTGTCTGCCTAGACATACTGTAGGTACATATGATTATTTATTGAGAATGTTCATTTTGGCATTTTTGACAAATGCCAATTATAAAACTGGAAAGAGATAAAAATAATGTTTATAATATGGGTGGAAATTGTTGAGATCCACAAAATGTCGTAAACAAAATGTTCTTTAAAACAATATGAGAATGGAATTTAAGTAGCTATCATGTTGAGAACTATTCCAGGTGCGTTGTAAGAAACTCATGATTTTTGTATTTTTAGTTAGTAAAGTAACTAAACCTCTTTCTTTTCTCCTATCAGTAAGCAGCAAAAATACTTGTATATGCAAAAAACAATAAAGAATCAGCCTCCCAGTTGTAAAAAGAATGTCCTTGTAACTATGAAAAGTACATTCACAAATCTTCTGCAGCTACTGTATGTATTATCTCTGTGCATTGAAGGACTTCTGATTTCAGATTAGATTTCTCACTTTATCACAAAGTTGCTCTATTTCAAAGGGATTTCTCATAGTTTCCAGCTAGTCTAGTTACAGAAAGTATTCAGACCCCTGGCTTCACCTTTGTCAATTTTGTTTTGCTACAGCCTCATTCTACAGTTGTTGAAATTCATTTTTTTCTCATTAATCTACACTCGGAACTCCATAATGACAAAGTGAAAACAGAATGTTAGAAATGTATTAAAAAGGAAAAAACACTCCGGGGAAAGAATATGTGAATGTCAAATTACATTATTTTATGACACAGATTATTTTACATACAGTATTAATTAAAATACAGATATTGCATTATCATAATCTTCCTCACCTCATCTTGGCACTGAAAGCAGTTAACATAAGAAAAATAAACTGTCGAGAAAACCAAATTAAAAACTACCTGTGAACTAGCTCAGTCATCTTATCCTGTGCTATGGACAGATTACTATTATAATCAGTGGTGGGATTCAAAATATTTTACTACCGGTTCTCTGGGCGTGGCTTGGTGGGCGTGGCAGGGGAAGGATATTGTAAAATCTCCAGTCAGAGGTGGTATTTGGTGGTTCTCTGAACTACTCAAAATTTCCACTACTGGTTCTCCAGAACTGGTCAGAACCTGCTTGAATACCACCTCTGATTATAATGATTATCTTTAAAGTTTAGAAAATATTCTTTGAAATGTCCCTGAATTCCTTAGAAATGTTTTCAGTTTGAAAGCAAATGAAGAAGGCATCAGTGGAGATGAGACGAGGATGTTGTAAGTACCCAGATTACAAAAGGTTTACAATAAAACAGTTACCAATTAACACATTGTGTAATGAAATCACTGAAGTTTAATCCTTGTGAAATGTAACATGCCCTGGTCCAAATAATATACTTTAACTCTAATTCTGCAAAACCACTGAAGCTTGAAAGAAGAAAAAACCCACAAGTTTTTTACTTTCATAAGATGTGAATATCTACCGTCATCACAATACATTTAAAAAAAAACAATAACTACAAGAACAGAACATTTCTTCTAGTTACTGAATATTCAAGTTATTAAAAAATACTAGTCTTTGAACCCTATACATTATAGCAAATTAGTGAAGCTCCCTGCAGCTCACAACAAAACTGTCAATATCAGTTTCAGAATTTTTATCATGATGGAAGAATAAGTGTAGAAAGAACTGAGAACTCATCCAGGATTAGAAACATCTCTACAACTTCCATTTCCCAGTTGCAATATCTTGCTAAGTATCTTTTGTGTCTAATGGAAATTTCCAGTTTTAAAAGTCAGCATGTTTAGGAACAAAGGCAACAAACCCCATCTTTTAAACAAAAATGATTTTAAAACATGAAGGGCCTCACAGAAAATTATATCAATGAAAAGAAGTTAAAAATACATTCAACTTAAAGGTGTCCCTCATTCCAGCTTTTGGATGAACACCCAGTTAAATTAATTATTTGAATAGCAAATAAAAACAAATTCAAGTTATGCATATAATTCTGATACAACAATACCTTAAGCTAATGCATCCATAAAGGAAGCATATCCAGAGCCATCCAAGAAAAAGGAAAAGCAACATTAAGGGAAAGGCAAACACAAACCAAGAGCCAAAGTTCACAACATCACATCCTGGAAAATAACTAAGAGAAAGAAAAAGACCAATTAATACAAAATGGAGAAAATGTTTTTGAATACATTTGAAATAAGAAATAAATAACCAACACAATATGTCGTGCAACCTTCCAAAACCAATTTATAAAATGCAGTTAATACAAGATTAGCCAAGATTATCTGAATTTTTTTTTTACATTCTCTAGGAAAATCCTACTCAACAGTCCTAACCCTGTAATTCCTGATACTGATTTCATAGATTGCATTAATCAATGCTGTACTTAATAAACACTTTAAAACAGGTCACAATAAGTTGGTTCACCCATTTGGGGGTCACAAAATAGAGTGACTGGATTCACATCATATATAACAAGCCAAATCAAAAAGTCACATTGTGCATTGTGTGAACCTGGCCAGTATCTGAAGGTTTCCTATTATTGTTGTGAGTATTGTTAGTTTTCTACAAATATCAGATGCCAAACTCTAACAAAAACTGTACCTCTTTAACTGTCCTGAAAGAATGAGATTTGGGGCTGTCCCAGTCAGTGTTGCTGTTCCACCAATACTAGCAGCATAAGGGATGGAAATCAGAAATGCTTTCCATACATTTTTCTTGTCTTGTTCTTCCCTCATTACATCCAAGGAAATGTCAACTGTGACTTCCTTCTCTTCAATCGCATCTTTCCTTCAAAACATTCCAAATAAAAATATAGCATTTGAGATACATTTTGGCTTGTAAGTCAACTGTTATCTTCAGAGAGGGATATTTGGAGCAATTTGTACATTCTGTACAGAATATATAATATTCTATACATAATAAGGTTAATTCTTCTGCAGGAGAGTAAGACCTCTATGGGTTCAGGTTGGATTAGGTTTGAAGCAGCAAGAGATTGCATCAGTGACACCCAATCTTTTAATTAATTTTACTATTTTTTTTTTGTTTAAGATTGTGACTATCTTTAAAATAGATGAAAAATAAAAAAATAGAACCGTTCTAAATTTAATACAGAGATGGGAATGTGATTGCTGACTATGGGGCATGCTCAATATTTTTGGAAGAGTGACATTATAATGTAAAGTGGTTGAAACTATTATATATGAACAAGAAAACTTAGACTAGGGTTTTTTTTCCCCATTTTGCCCATCCCTGCTTTTAAAAACAATGTAGAAGATGAAAATTCAGCAGACACAACTTTTCTTTCTCCTGCATGACAAGCCCTTTGTTTTTTATCTTTAATGCAAATATGAAAAATACTTAAATTCTGGATGGTTTCCTTTAAAGACAAAAGGAGAAAAGTTAACTTGATGGACCATAAACCTGGTGTCAGAACATGCACTTAACTTGTAGAGGGCTCAAGGTTCAATCTTTAACATTTACTGTAAAAAGAAATGAATGACTCCTTGCGAGCAAGGAATGTTTGCCAGAAGGAACAGAAGTCTCATATCCATAGACTAGGCATAGGCATAGTTGAATTGTAGGTGAACTATAGACTAGGTCCATTTGTCCAACACAATCAGTGCTGATTTGCAGAAACTTCTCAGGTTTTTAGGAAGGGATCTTTCCCAATTCAGTCTGGAGATGTCCAATATCCTTATTACATGTAGCCTTATTGAATAATGCCTTGTTGGATTTTGTGTAAAACCACTATTTAACAGATTTATTTAACCATACTTGTGTGAAACTGCTTTCCTTTCCATTTTCTTATACTGGCATAGCAAAAAAGTAGGTTTTGCTTCCATTTCCAATTAATTACACTCTTGTTCTTAATGATTGTATCAACTGTAGTTGATTTGAACTAAAATGTAATCAAGGTGACATAATCTTTTCAGCTCTGGAGACCACTATAGTGGCCACAGTTACCAACATTGCATTGCAGTGTATCTTCACTTTCCCAACAAAATGTTTTCTCCCCAATGTAGAAGCATTTATTCTAATCAGACAAACAAGAATGACTGTGGCATGATGCTATACCACCATTATAATTACACTTGGTATCATGATATATAGGCAGTCCCCTTCTGACAGGTAATTGACAGGAAAAAACATAGTACCATTACAGCAGTCTCCCTTCCTACTGATTGAATTCCATATGAAGAAAAGAAAAATCACTTTAGCAGGATTCAAACTAGTGGGATGATGGGAATTATGGGAACACTAAACTGCATCTATTTTTTTAGAAAACTAAAAGATTCCCCAGGCATCGCTTAAGCAAGCCAACAGTACAAACATATTTTAATCTTTACTTGTAAGGCTAAACCAGTACTAAAACTAACCATAATTAATCTTGGTTAGGAGGACATCCTGATAAACAGCAGCTCCTTGAGAATGGAAGCAGATGGTTTTCTCCTTGCAACCCTATCAAAGGAAAATGGAAAAAAGCAGACACCCCCCCCCATTCTCTTTCCAGATTTCTCAAAATGAATCATCCAGTTATATGGAACAATGCCCAGAATCCTGGTGCTATTGAGAATTGTCCGAACTGCTATCTGCAAGCAGTAACTAGAAATGCTACTAATGAGGATGAGTGTGCTCTAAGGTTAGATCAGTAGATTTATTGCACATAATTACAAAAACATATATTATAGAAAGATCTTCATATAGCAGCATGGAATCCTACCTCTCTATAAATTCATCCCCAGATCTAAATCCTAGGTGTCTTCTTACCATCTTTTTGCATCAAAATCTGTGCTTGTTTCTCAACTGTGAAGGTTCATAGAACATAGAATAACGGAGTTGGAAGGGACCTTGGAGGTCATCTAGTCCAACCCCCTGCTTGAGCAAGAGAGCCTATTCCAAATATTAGCCTCTTCCTAGGGTCGAACTCCACCTCTGGGCCACCATCTGTCTCTTGTTTACAAAATGTCTTTCCCTAGTAAGAAAATTAGAAATTCCCATCTTACCAGTTGCCCAAATCTTACAAAATATAGCAGGACATGGAAGATTATTTTCTATAAAAACAGGAATATATGCCTTGGAGATGACTGCCAAGTAAGCAATTTGATATTTCATATGGACAGTGCCTTCCTTTTCAATAGCAACTTACTCATTAGCATTTGTCAGAAACTGCATCTCAGTTGGCACCATGTGAAGTTTGTTCTGATGTACTGAACCTAAAGAAATAAATATTTCAGAAGATTTTTTACACAGAACCGAAAAATGATTCTTGAAGTATATTTATATTGTTATCATATTTATTAAATTTGCATACAATGTATGTGACTTGCATTGATTCTTACCATTATCAAAAGTGGTCTTCTTTGATATCTGCTTTTCAAAAAATGGAAAAAATGTATATTGGCTTCTGGACATTCATAAAATTCATTTCAGTCTATACTAAAATAAATATTAATATTCACTGCAATTATTGCATTTTAAAAAAAGAGGGAACCTGATATATATTGACCTGGTTCTAAGAGAATGTGCTGTTCTGATCTCAGTAGAATTGTTGCAGACACACACACACACACACATTTTACTGCTAAACTATATTGCTTATACTAGAAATAAAATACAGCCATCCTGAATTAGTAGTTTCATACTTTACTGCTCCATGAATTTATGTAATTACCTCTTAAAGCCATATACATTTTAATTGATCTCTGCCATTTATAGAAGCAGAGTTGCTAGTCTCACTATGCTGCGTGGAATATTACTTTTTGATAAAAAAAAATTTTTTTAGGCTCTAAGGTGAATTTAAAAGTTTGCTGAGCACTACATGGCAATCATGCCATGATGGGTTCAAAATTATACTGGCTCAGAATAAGATTTGATTGCTTTTTGCTTTGAGGTATCATACCACTAAGCTCAGAGAGGACCAAGGATACTATAAATATTACATTATTGTTTGTTTTGGCTTTTTTTTTTAAAGGAACAAGAAATCTACTTGCGGTTGCTTATCTACTATAGCAGATATGTAGCAGATATAGCAACTGCATATTCTATATCTATTTCCAAGCTCCCTGGAAACTTTTACCTCTGATGGCACCGTATTTATTTTATTCATCTTATTGGGGCTTTTCAAGATTCATAATTAACAAAAATCATCTTTAACTTTGTTGCCCTTTTTTGAAAAATGTACTTATTAATATAGTACCTCAGTGAAATGCTTGTCTTCGTATTTATTAGAATCTTATTAATACACTTTTTTGCAGAGGGCCAGGATTAGGATCACTAGGGATTAAAACACCCCATTGAGTCTTGATTATAACAGAACCTGTGCTCTTTTGACCCTAAATTTTGTATAAACTTTTCCACTTGGAACTGTCATTGTCTTTTACTTCTTTCTTCATGTTGGGACAGACAGGATATTACAGAAAAGCACAAGGTGGACAAAGTCTATGAACCTGCTCACTCTGCTGTTGAAAGTATGTGTCTTTACTGCTCAGTGAACCTGTGACTTTTGCACTTCACTATTCTTTGGCATTCTTTCTTATTTAAGCAATAAAATGGTGTCTCAGCTCTTGACTAGAACAACAGGGAAGGAATTAAAACAATAATATACCGTGGATGCATTTTCCATTCCACAGTACAAAAATGTATGTCTCAGACTGGGCAAATGTTGATACAATCTAGCTTTTGAGTTTGTTCAAACTATTAGGAAAAGGATTATGTTCTCTGGGACAGCAGGTCTGTAATCAAGAACTTCTTGTCCTTGGCTATTTTAGATCTACTGAGGGTGGTGATGCCAGGAAAGATTGTCTTAGATACAAGTGAATCTGAGGTGGTTGGATCTGGCCACAGCTATCCATGCCTTGGTAGCACAGAACTTTGTTTGAGACTATACTTGAAGAATAACAAAAAGCTTTAGTTAGCAAGCAGTGAGCTAGCTAATTTGCTACCATGTAGAAAATACCATAAACCCATCATACCCATTTGAAAAATCTCAGTGGATTACCAGGCATTATCCAAACTCAGTTTAAGGTGTTTAAGACTGAGAGCTACAAATGTAGAAGGACAGAGCAACCTGAAATAGGGCATTCACAGGGAGGGATGAGGGGTTGTGAATAGTGTAAAAACAATGTGTGGTAGGCATGACTCGGCAATGACTTCCAGAAGAAGAGAGAGGAACCTGCCCCATTTTACATCAAGGGGGCTGTGTGGAGAGAGTTTCCTCCTTTAAATTCCTGGGAGTCTACTTCAGTGAAGATCTTACCTGGAAAATCAACACAACCCAAGAGGCCAGAAAGGCCCAACAGAGACTCCATTTCCTCAGGGTCTTGCATAAGAACAAAGTGGAACAACAACCAGTTCTTTTACCAGTCCACTATAGAAAGCGTCCTCTCATATTGCATTATGGCGTGGTACGCTGGCTTGACAGCCGCAGATAAACATTACAGAGGATGGTGAGCTCAGCACAAAACATTGTGGGCTGTTCCCTGATACCACTAGATGACATTGCTAGGGCTTGCTGCCTTAGAAGAGTGAGGAAAATTCTCAGGAACAACTCGCACCCCGGTCAGCATTTCTTCACTCTCCTACCATTGGGTAGGAGATATAGAAGCATAGCCAGCCGCACCAACAGTCTGAAGAACAATTTCTATCCATGGGCTGTCAGACTTCTGAACGGAAAATAACTTCATGTCTACATAGTATGACAGACTTGCAGGGCTGGCACATTGTTCATAATTCAAACAATAGTAATTTATAATCATTCTTTATAATCATTTTATCATCATCATTATTATTCCAATAATTCTTTAAAAAATAACTTGAATTGTAAGTCATAAAATATTTATATTGATATTTCTGAAATCTGGCAGTCTCTGTCCACTCTACCACTCATGTCTGTAGACATACTTTTTTATATACTTTTCAAAAAGTATAAAATATACTGTTCATCCAAGCAATTTGAATAGCATTGAACTGCTTGTGCTCAGGTAGTTTAAATCAGATCGTTTCTTCAATTCGTATTCTTGTACTCAGAAGAAACATTTTCCCATATGAAGTTACCCTTGCTAGAGTATAGGAAAATGCAGCTTTGAATACTGTGTATATATGCAGACCTACTGTCCTTCTTATTCCTTGTTGCAGTACCGTGGGAACTAATATGCATATACATATAAAGATAAAGGTTAACTTGTCAGTCATGTCCTACTCTCAGGCACGGTGCTCATCTCCATTTCTTGACTGAGGGAGCCAGAATTGTCCGAAGACAATTTCTGTGGTCATGTGGCCAAAGATGCATGGAATGCTGTTAATTTTCCATTGAAGTGATATCTATTAATCTACCTGTAATTGCATGCTTTTGAACTGCTAGGTGGGCAGGAGCTGGGGCAGGTAACAGAAGTTCACCTTGTTGCATAGCTCTTGGCAGGGGTGGGATCCGACCGTTGTAACTACCGGTTCGGTGATTTTACATTTTGTGCACATGCGTGTATATCATTGTCATCTAGCTGCCTGGACAGCTGAGCAGCGCTGCTCGCGGGTGTGCAGCGGTTGAAAAAGCACTTTTTTCCTGCAATTTTTCAACTGCAGTTGTGTTGCGCAAAGCAGCAGTGGTTGAAAACGCAGGGAATAAAGGTCAGGTAAGAACCCAGGCGGGCGGGTGGGCCAAAACAGCAGCAGATATAGAACCGGTTCTATGTATGCTCTCTGTTTTCTGCTTTTCAGAGCAACTGGTTCTACAGAAGTGGACAGAACCAGTAGAATCCCACCCCTGGCTCTTGGGCCAAACCTGGGCTGCTAGCTCTCCAGCTGACAAATTCAGCACCTTTAACCTCTGAGCCACTACCCTCCCCCCCGTTGCATATGTACATATACATATCATACACACACACATACACATACATATCATACACACACATATACACACATCATATACGCATACATACCAAAAATGAACTGGGTTGGGTCAATCAGACTTACCTTTATTTTCTTCTTTTACCCTATTGCAATCATTAGATGTTTCCTTATCTCCGAAAAGGCTTTTTAAAACAGCCAATGCAATTGGTAACATCATAGCAGTAGAGGCTGTGTTACTCAGCCACATGGACAAGAAGGAGGTTGTTAGCATCATGCCTAAAATGAGTCTGAAAAAAGAGAAGGGGAGGGAAACGGAGGGGAGAGGAGAGGAGAGGAGAGGAGAGGAGAGGAGAGGAGAGGAGAGGAGAAGAGAAGAGAAGAGAAGAGAAGAGAAGAGAAGAGAAGAGAAGA